TAAATTCCCGGAGTCGTGGCAGCAGCAGCCGCAGCAGCAGCTGCAGCAGCAGCTGCAGCAGCTGCTGCTGCTGCCGGGGTGTACGTACACCCCAGGCGAAGGCGAACAAAGGAGGAAAATGACAAATTACGAAAGACAAAATATAAAGGCAAAGAATAACTAATTGATAAATAAAAGACATTGTTATTTTAATTTATTTGAAGCTACGCAAACAAGAGCAAAAAGCCCAAAAAACAGCAGCAGCAGCACGCGCCGCTCGGGTGTACGTACACCCCAACGCCTTCAAACAAATCCAGGGCCTTCCAGCACCAAAAGAACAAACGCGAGGACAAGAAGCAGCAGCAAACTGCCGCACTAAACGGAGCAGCAGCAGCTGCTGCAGCTGCTGCTGCAGCTGCTGCTGCTGCTGCTGCTGCAGCTGCGCAGACACTCCACCGGGCTTCTGCGCTGCTTCTGCGCTTTACGTACACCTCAGGCTCCCCCGCAGCGCCGCAGCTGCCACTCATATATGTGCATATATTTATATTTGAATAATAAATATTAAAAGCATAAATACATTTTTAAATCTTAAAAGCATAAATATCATTTTCCCAATTACTCATTTGCACAGAGCCTTCAGGTGTACGTACACCGGAGCAGCAGCCGGCGTACACTGCGCAGCTGCGCCCTAAAAAGCTGCACCCACAACGGCAGCAAACTCAGCAGCTAGCTAGCTAGCTAGCTGGCTAGCTGGCTAGCTAGCTAGCTAGCTAGCTAGCGGATGGAAAGAGGAACGGCTAGCTCTGCTGCTGCGGGCAGCTAGCTAGCTGCTGGCTAGCAGTTTGGCTAGCTAGCTAAAAGCAAGCTGACTAGCTAGCTGCCCATTGGCTAGAGCTAGCTAACCAGCTAGCTAGCTGCTTACTGGCTAGCTAGCCAGCTGGCTGGCGGCTGGCTAGCTGGCTAGCTAGCCAGCTAGCTGCTGGCTATCTAGCTAGTTAGCTGGCTAGCTGCTGGCTAGGTAGCTAGATAGCTGCTAGCTAGCTAGCTGCTGGCTAGCTAGCCAGCTAGCTAGCTAGCTGGGCCTAGAGAAACCGGTTGTATGCTTTTGTGCTTCTAGCCGAAACGTCAGCTAGCTGCGCATCTTCTGGGGCTTCTCTGCTCATTTTGCGGACAGTCCTTTGGTCGGGGAAGCTTGCTGCTGCTGCTGCTGCTGCTGCTGCTGCTGCTGCTGCTGCTTTTGAAGGGATCTCGGCGTCGCTGGCCACTGTCTCCTCCTCGGTGTCCTCGCCCGCTGATTCCTGCTGCTGCTGCTGCTGCTGCTCCTTCCGCATTTTGGCTAGCAAAGAAGAGGTCTTGCGGGGCAGCAGCAGCAAACCGCTGACGACGCCCATAGCCTGCTGCAGCAGCGGGGCTCCTGCTGCTGCTGCAGTTGAGCCGCCGCTGCCTGCTGCTACAGTGCCAAAGCCCGAGACCAGGGGAGTTGCTGCAGCACCTGGGACTGTTGCTGCTCCTCCTGCTGCCCCCAGGCCAGCGCCGGCTCCCGCAGCAGCGGGTGCTGCTGCAGCAGGAGCAGCAGCAGCTGCTGCAGTGCCTGCTGTTGCCGGCGCAGCTGCTGCTGCTGCGGGCGCGCCTGCTGCTGCTGTCGCCGTGGGGCACCAGGGGCACCAGCCGCCGCAGCAAGCTGTTCCTGCTGCAGTAGAGCCCCCTACAGCCCCCCCAGTCATTGTGGCCGTGAGAACGGTGAGCCCGTGAGGCATTTTCGTAAATTTTCAGTTTAAAATGCAAAATAAAAGATTAAATAAACAAACAAAGTGAAAAAATGGAAAAAATCGGAGAAGTCGGCGCCGCCGCGGGCGCGCGAGCAGCAGCAGCAACGGGCTGAGGTGTACAGACACCTCAGATCACCAGCAGCAGCAGCTACGCTCGATGGACGCCTCGCGCAGCAGATTTGCGATCAAGCCTCAAATTAAACAGTTTCCGAGTTTTTAAAAGAATAAAGGACAAAAGTAACGGCGCTGCTGCGTCCGCAGCGGCTCAGCTGCGTGGCTGGGCGGCTCAGGTGTACAGACACCTCAGAGCACGGTCGTCGGCGCCTGGAGGTCGCGGAGCCAAAGCTTGTGAAAAAATGCTAAAATGGCATTTAAATGCCACTTAATTGCCATTTAAATACATTTAAAACTGCCTTTTGAGGGTTTTTTGCCTTTTTTAGCGCCAACTTTGCCTATTCCGGAAACCAGCGCCAGCCGCAGCTGCGCATACACCTCAAAACGTTCGGGTGTATGGTCAGACACACGAAACACCCGCCTCCGCCTCCGTGTCTTGTTCATTTATTTTATTTTTTCGTGTTTTTGAATTCAAAAAGTAATTGTTTTTGGCTTTTGCGGCGCAGAAGACAGAGAGAAGAATCTCCCTCTCCTCTCAAGCAGCTACGACAGCCTGGCAAACGCGCCGCAGCATCCCAGCCGCGTAAATACAGAATAAAACCAGTTAATTAATTAATTAAACAACAAATTAATTAATTAATTAATCATAAATACATAAAAATGATTAATTGAAATAGTTCTTTGCTGCTGCTGAACTTGCGAAGAGAAACAGAGCCACGGTGTGTAGTCCACTACAAACAGCACCACGAGACGCCTGAAATTACGCACGCGTGCTGCTGCTGCTGCTGCTTTTGCTGCAGCTGTTGCTGCTGTTGTTGTTGCTGTCGTAGCTGCTTTTGTTGCTGTTGCTGCTGCTGTCGCTGGTGCTGCAGCTGGCAGCCTAGCGCCCCCAGCCGGGGAGGGCAGGCAGCAGAAAAGCCAACAAGGAGCGAAGAAAATTAGGGTTTAGGGTTTAGGGTTTACGGACTCCGCAGGGACCCCATCTTTGTCAGCAAAAGTAATATTTCTTTTTCTGTTTTCTGTCTTGGCAAGTCTGCCGATTCATCTGACTACTGCCGACAGTAAACCCTAAACCCCAAACCCTAAACCCTAGCCCTAAACCCTTAAGGTCAGGCAAGAAAAAGTAAATGCAAATAAACAAGCAGCAAATAAAACCCCATCCCCAAGAACCCCGTTCTTTTTCTTTTCTTTCTTTAATAATATCAACTCGCCTTAATTAATTCTTTTATTTTTATTTTTAATTCTTTCCAATTTCTCTCTTTGCCTCTTCCGTGGGGGTCCCGCGGCTCCGCTAGCTCAGCTGCTGCTGCCTCCACTCAGCAGCAACGAGCTAGCTAGCTAGCCAGCTAGCTTGCTAGCTAGCTAGGCAGCCAGCTAGCTAGCTAGACAGCCAGCTACCAAACTAGCCAGTTGGCTAGTAAGCTAGCCAGCTAGCTAGCCAGCTAGCTAGATAGCCGGCCAGATAGCTAACCAGCCAGCTACCAAACTAGCCAGTTGGCTAGTAAGCTAGCTAGCTAGCTAGCTAGCTAGCTAGCTGGTTAAACAGCCAGCTAGGGTAGACAGATAACTGGTGCTTCGGCTAGCTGTCTAGCTAGCTGGCTAGCCAGACCTCCAGCTAGACAACTTCTTGCCTCTCTGCTTAGCTAGCCAGCTGCCTTTCAATGCGGGCACCCAGCTAGCTAGCTAGGCAGCTAGCTAGCTAGCTAGCCAGCTAGCTAGCTAGCTAGCCAGCTAGCTAGCTAGCTAGGCAGCTAGCTAGCTAGCTAGCTCCCCAGC